CATCTGGGGGATCAATGACTTTTTTTTCCCCTATGAAACCCTGTGGTTTCTTTTCCACATTAGAAAAGAAGGTGAGACAAAGTCTCTGACAGTTTGGTCTCCTTTGAAGGACTTGCCCTGCTGGCTCTGAATTTTTTGGGCTCTCCAAGCAGCACTCACAGATGCTTGATTCGATAGGCACCAACTCACCATTCCTTGAGCTTATCAGCAGCACTTGGCTGTCAAACCCAATCCATGAAGAGTTTTTGTTTGAGTGTATGCTCCATTTGTATAAATAAACACTGAGCACAATGTTGAAGTCAACAACTTCCTAGACAAGGTCAGAGTGGTACAAAGGCAGCGGGGTGGAGGCAGGCAGAAAAGCATTTACTTTCAGGGGAATTGCTGGGAAACCAGCAATAATGTATTGTACACTCGTCCTTCAGAGAGCAACAGTAGCCTTGACTGTCTCTTTCTTGCTAAACTAGCAGGTTGTGGTGCAGGGGCAGTTTCTCACGGGGTTTCTGGGGCTTAAATTGTAATATTTGGTAATGGAGAATGGTTTCTTCTCTCCCTGGCTGTGTGAGGAGGAGGCAGCCCACAGAGTGATGTGCAGGAGATGCAGAAGGCACATGTTGCTGCCCCGAGCAGGATGCCCATGAGCAGGTTGTGACACAGTGCTGCAGGTGGGCAGAGCAGTGGCAGGGCTGGCATTGCTCTTGGGCCACTAGAGACACAGGTCTCATTGCCATCTCACCTGTAAGCCATGGACAAAGAATTGTATGAAATACAGACAGTGTGTTCCTTCCTCCTAGGGACCTGCAGTGGTCCAGAAATCTTGGGGCTTTCCAAAGCAAGCCATGGACAAAGAATTGTAAGAAATACGGACAGTGTGTTCCTCCCTCCTAGGGACCTGCAGAGGTCCAGAAATCTTGGGGCTTTCCAAAGGGTTTTGCAGTGGCCTTCCCCATCTGCAGGTGATGGCAGACTGCACTGGGCACAGTTAACCCAGGGCTGAGTGCTTCCAAATTGCCCTCTGCACCCATAGCAGAAGTTGGACCTCAGAACCCGTGAATTCATCAAGTGCCTCTGCTCCCATTGGAGCCAAGGAATGAGAGGCATGGCCCTGATAGCTGAAAGGCTTTAAGGACACTCTGTAGCTGCTCCAGGATCTTGCTGTGACACCATGTCCCATATTTGGGACACAGATTGCTGTCTCATCCTCTGTGCCAGGCTTGTCAGCTCACACCTCAGTGTATCATTATTTTTGCCTGGTTATAGAGCTAAATAATTTCCAAAGCAGTACCATTATTTGCAAATAGTTGCCGAGACCTCTTTGCTGAGCAGTGAGTGAACCAAACCTTGGGCATGTCACTTGTGCCTCTTGAAACTCAAAGCTGATTTTTATTTGACTGCTAACCTTGTAAAAACATTTCATTTTTATGCCTACTCTTCCCACCTCATTTCTTATATTGCTCAGTCAGGGTATCAAGCAATAATGGGAAAATAAACAAACAGGGAGTTCTTTATTGCCTGCATCACCTATCGTCTGTCTTTGAGTGGATTCAAAGTGATTTTTCTCAAGGCTGAAAAACATATTTAAACACCTGAATGTAGAGAGCCTGAGATATTACTTATGCCACAGGTATCTTATACTTACTGAGGCCTTTTATTAAAATAGTTTCAATACCTAGTGTTAAGAGAATTTCAAATGCAATGCCTATTGAGCTGACAGGTCTGTGTAAAGAGAGATGTGAATTTTCCAGTGGTTTGGAAGAAAGTTGTCAGAAATGTTCGCTGCTTCTGCCAGAACATTTTCCTTCTCTGTTTGGAATTATTAATGTTTCAGAGCCAGCAATCACTATACTCACAAAATATGTCATTAATTAATGTCTGCACCATGTTTCTGCAGCCTGTAAGAGAACAGATTATCTGTGAGACGTGAGGAATAACCTCCCTGCTCCCACCATGGACCAGTTCAGTTTGATTCTGCTCAGTTCAGCCAATTGATTCTAGTTGTCTCAAACCAGAGATTAATTGGGGTGTTGCTAACTTTAGCAGTAGTTCTGAGGGCAGAAAAACAGAAGAGTTCACTTAAAACATGAGGAGTTTTCTTGTGCATTTGAAGCCTGGCTGGCATTTTCCATGTCCTTCTCCATCTGAGTGGATCTCCTGAAAGGAACTTCTCTGTGCTCTGAGTTTCAGCAGATTTGTTGGAAGTTTGTGAAATTAGTTGCAAGGATATTTGCCAGGTTTATCAATCTCAATAAAACACCCACTTAGAATCACTCAAGTGATCTCATTTGAATGCAATTTCTTTGATCTGAATTTGGTTATCGTTTGTGTTTCACATTTTCCAGGGAAATGGTGTAATTGGAGATTTTATTTTTATTTGTAAGGAAACTTCCCAATTCATTATCCCTATGTGTGCACTCACATGTTTGTTTGCTTGTTTTTAAGTCTTCATCTAGACGTGCTGGCCTATGTTGCACTAATTGCCACACAACCAATACCACCCTCTGGAGAAGAAATGCTGAAGGGGAGCCTGTCTGCAATGCCTGTGGATTGTACATGAAGCTCCATGGGGTGAGAAACACATCTGCACTGGGAGGGACACTTTGGGTGATAGGGTCACTGCCCAGCAAGTCCAGGAAATCAGGTCTAAAAGGACCAACCTCTAGACTGGACCCAGCAGAGCTATACCCCGTCGTGTCTCCTTGAACAGTTAAGGTTTAGTCTACTGGGGTTCTCCAGAATAAGGCTAAGAGGGTATTGGGACACTCTTGGGAGGTACCTTCACAAGGGAGAGATTTATGGCACTGGGTGGCTCTTAGGTTGTTTGCCAACTTCCTTCACAAAAATGAATAATAAATTAAAAACTATTCACTATGAGGGTGATGAGGCACTGGCACAGGTTGCCCAGAGAAGCTGTGGATGCCCCTAGAAGTATTTTAGGCCAGCTTAGATGGGTTTTGGAGAAACCTGGTCTAGTAGAAGGTGTCCCTGCCCATGGCAGAGGACTTGGAACTAGATGATCTTTAAGGTTCCTTTCCAATCCAAACCTTACTAGAATCCTATGAAAAAGAAAGCTTACCAAGCTCCAGTAGCTGGAGACTGAAGCTCCCCTAACCCAAAGTGAGATAAGGAGTGTATTTTTCCTATATGTGCTAATTAGGAATGTGTGAAGGATGCTGAGGAGCCCACTCAGAGGCTGGCTGATAATGTTTATGCACAGGGAATGAGAACTGTTGGTAACGTGTCCATGAGCCAAAGAGGGGACACCATCCCTCCATACAGGCCCCTCCAAACTTCTGCCTTAAAGGTTAAAGTCCTTTATCCCATGACCGTTCCCTCCGAGCCATGTAGTCTCTCACTCTGTCAGTGTAATTTAATAGGGCCCTGTCATAAAGGTCACTAATAAATCAGGAAAAGAAAAATAGGAAATACAGGAAAAAACCAAAATTTGTGGGAAAGACTGAGCTGTTAGCCTTATACATCTTCCAGCCAAGGCCTGTTGCAGAGACAAATAGCATTTAGTGAAGGACAAGGACTTTAGGTGCTTTGCATGAGCTACAGCACATAAATAGGAGAGCAACACACGTGGGGGAAGGAGCTGAGTAAATTACAATATTAATGATTCCAAACTTTATGAATGTCAAGGTACCACGACCTCTGGCCATGAAAAAGGAAAGCATCCAGACGAGGAAAAGGAAGCCTAAAAACATTACCAAAGGCAAAGCCTCAACAGGTACAGTGCTATTATGATCCATCCTGGGGGCTTGGAGTGCAGTTCATCTCAAGATGTCTTCTGCAAGACATTATGATAATTAGAAAATAATATTTTGAGTTTTTTCCCTGATGATTGCATTAGATGCAGGGCCTGTATTTATGCATAGACCTCATGTGATAGGAAATCTCAGTGCTGTCATATTCCTGTGAGGTTTTTCTGTGCCATGGGCACCCAGCTGCAGGCTGGCAGTGCTCGTGTTCAAGTAGATTTGAGCTAAATTGAGTCATGAAGAAAAAATGGTAATGGGAAGGGTGTATTGAGTTGAGGGGAAGGTATCACGATGCATTCAACATTAGCCTGTCCAACCAGGACCAGCACTGCCAGTGTGAAAGGATTCCCTCCTCCTCCATCAGCATCTTGACAGCCAAGTACAAAACCTTACCCTGACAGAGATTGGTAGAGAAAGAACAGTAGAGTCATGCCATGAGATATGATGGTTGCCATTAAAATGTTGATTTCTTTAAGAGAAGATTTGCACCTACATTGCTTCACCATCCTCTATCAATTGTCTTCCAGGATCTACAACTTCAGCCACTAACTCCCCTTCTTCCATTACCAACTCAGACAGCACGGTCACTTTAAAGTCAGAGCCCAGCACAACCTCCCAGTATCCCGGACAAACCATCGTGTCAGTGTCCCAGGTAAGACTCAGGGGCCACAGCCATCACCTTCTGGGGTGGGTGCTCCACATACTTCTCTGGCTGCTAGCCCTTGATGAGGTTAAGCAATTAGTTCGTTGCCCTGGGGCCACCAGCCTGATGGACTTCCTCAGACTGAGGAAAGCAGGGAGCATGAGCCAGATGCTGCAGACCAGGAAGGGGTCCAGTCTGTTAGCTGCCCATCAGCTCTTCCATCTTGCACTGGGGAACTGGGAGGTCCAAACCCTGCTGCAGCAGAGGTGATCAGTGGTGAAAAGGCTTCAGTACAGAGCTGGGTTTAATTCCCATTTCCTGCCATGAAATCTTGGGTGTTGCAACCCTGGTGAGTTGGTGGGATTAGCCCAGGATGGAAACCTCTGTATCACACAAGAAAAGGCTCTCTGGGCTTATGTTATCTATGCTTTATAGCCCTGAGGTGCTCAGCGACCACAGAGCTGTAACATTCTCAGGGGCCTCTGATTGCTTCTGCTCTGTGCTTTTCTTTGGGGCTGGATGATATTTAGTCTTGACAAGGGGACGAGAGACCTGTTGGCTAATAACAAACTTTCTAATGCCTTTCTGCTTCCCTCCCTGGGGTAGGCACAGAGCCAGTCAGACGAGGCACTGGCCAGCAGCCACGGCGAGTTCAAATTTGAGCCCGAGGACTACACCTTCTCCCCCACCACCATGGCCCCACAGCCCGGGCTGAGCGTGCCCCTCCGGCAGGACTCCTGGTGTGCCCTGGCACTTGCCTAGAAACCCTCAACCTCCAGCAGAAAGCCTCGGGACCAATGTTTTCGGCCGCAAACGGCCGATGGGCAGGAGCACAGGCTGCCCCAACACCTGTGGAGTGTGGAGCCACAGCCACAGGACAGGTTTCTCTTGGAGGATGCGCGTGGAAAACTCTCGCTGGATGGGGCTGGGATGGCCCTGCTGTGGAACCAGCTCCCCAAAAATCTCATCCTTCCCTGGAGCAACCCAGAGCAGCCTCCCCAAGGCTGGAACCCCAGGGACACCTCCACTTTCCCGGGAAAAGCCTTCCTCCTTTGAGATGAACCCAGCAAATAAATGCATCCCAGAATCTATGTTTATTCGCAGTGATTTCTCCCTCCTATGACTCCTCTGTGTGCAATTTATTCCACTTTCCAATAAAGACTGTAATAACACGGCACCAAATAACTTAATTTTATTAAAATGTAAACTATGTGGCCTGCCTTATGTTTTATTGGCCACAACAGGATGAAAAAAAAAGGAAAAAAAAAAGCAACTGTTGTTTTAAACATTTACTGTTTTATATTAAAAACGATCATCTCTATAGAGTGTTAGCTTCTGAAGCGTTTAGCATATCAACACTGAGCTGATGAGTCATACATGAAATAAACACGCTGCTCTTCCCTTTCCAGCTCCAAACAAAGATTTTTTTTTTATTATTGTTTTAGGCAAACCACATGACAAAAATGGTCAAAACCTCCCAATAATAAAAGAATACTGAAATGCAGTTTTTTCTTTTGTATTTCCTGACTGGTTTGGATGTTGTCAACGCTGAGCATTAGAAAATCAGACGTTAGTCTTCTAAAACTTTAGAGAAAGATTTGAGGGACTGAAAAATAAAGGACACGTTTGAGGTATATTAGTTTGCATCCAGTTTGGGAGCTGTTTTGAGTGGAGGATTTCCAGCTTTCAGCCATGCAGAGCACAGATTCCTTTTTAATTATTTTAATGGAAGCCAAGTAGAAAACAATTTCCTGGAGCTGAGATGTAGCAAGAAATCTTCAGTGATGTGAAACCCACATCACACTTCCAAAAGCTGCAACAACATGTTTCTACAGCTTCTCAGAGGTGGGTGATGGGGAGATAACACTCTGTTGGGGCATGCAAGGGGGCCTTGAAGGTCTTAAGGAACTTGGGGTGAGAAGACCACTCTGAGGAGGGGAGATGGGTGGGAAATGAAGGGGGAGAAAGGTCATGAAGTTACTTATGGCCTGCTTTATTTGTTACTTCTAAATAAAATCCCCAGCCTGGCTGGACAGCTATTTATGGCCAGGAAGCTGTCAAGTAATAGTTCCTTAATATAGCAGTTGACCTGTCCAAGGCTTCCTGGAGCAACTCTTCCCCTTGTCAGAAGAGATGGATCACTTGATTTTTATTATAAACAACAGGCTAAAGATGATCAGGGAGAGTGAATCTGACATCAAGTCATGACTCAAGTGAGATGGAGGATGATGTTTTCTACCATGCAACCCTTGCTGGAGGCAAGGAGATGCTGCAGGCACTGGGGAGCACTGGTCCCCTCCAGTGCTGCCATAGCTCAGCATCTAGTCCCTCAACATAGCTGTGTGTAGGCATGGAGGGTTCAAGCCACTCTTTTATCAAAGCCCTGCCTTTGGAGGAGTATTTCTTGTGCTTCCAGAGCTTCACTAGCAGCTTGCATGATGCCAAGCTCCAGTGCAGGCACAGAGGCTGTCACAGAGTGGTGTCCCTCCAGCACCAGGCTTGGCACTGGCACACCATGTTTGCATGGCCAGGTTCTAGCCATGGATCCACATCTTCACAGTTTGTTTTTCCACTCTCTGGCCTGCCAACATCCGCAGCAGAGCCAGGCACAGCCATGCAGCAGATAAGCCAGCAGCACGGGGCTGGCAGGTGGCACCGTCCCCAAATCCAGCCCAGACTGTGCCCCTGGGAGTTGGGAAAGTGGGTGATGTGGCCTTGGCTCACATGACCCACAGGCACCCAAGGTGACGTGTCAGGACACAGGCAGGCAGAGGGGAGCAGCAGCCCTGGGTGTAGCATGAGTAATGCTCCTGGGCAGCTCCCCAAACCCCAAACTTCACAGGCAAAAACAAGGCAGTGCAGCACAACTCATGGCAAGATGATTTCTATGGAGGGTGGCAGGGGGTTCTCGCTTTTTCATCTGTGTGACCCCAAGGAGGAGAGTTATTTTAAAGGCAAACAAGGAGACCTAAACAATGCCAAGATGTTGACACCAGTGGCTCCAGCTGTTTTATTTATTGCCTGTTCATAACCGTCGACCAGGCGTCGGGATGCTCCGGGGGCTGGTGACAGACGAAATGAGGCAGAGGGACAAGAAGTGAAACAACTGGGACATATGTAATTTTTCCTTCCTGCTTGCTCTCTGCATTCACTGAGCGACATCATCCACAACACTGGTTTTTCATTTCTTGGGAGTGTCTTCCAATCTTTTGCTCCCATTCCCGAGGCAGGAGTCATGCCTGCAGACTTCTGTCTCCTGGTACCCTAATGGCACAGGCAGTGTGTCTGCACAGCCCTGTGGGAGAGGGGAAATTCCATTCCTCCTGGTCATTGCATCCCCAGAGGAATCCCTGTGCAGGTCCCAGCCTTGCAGAGCCACATCCCAGGGGGGCCCACGCACCATCCAGCCATCACCTTCCCAACTGCCACTTTGAGGACCTTCCCTAGGGCTTCCATATCCCTTTGTATCCTTCATTACACAGCAAAGAGGAGCATTTGCCCCAAGAAGTGTGAATTAAAAACATGGGAAAGTTTGGGTCTTCCCACTCATGCCACATCCTCAATCCTGCTCCTACAGCCTCCTGGCACCTGGTGGCACAGCCCAGCTCAGCCCACATGCTTGCAGGAGTTTGAATGATTGTGTTGGCAGCAATGGAGGAGATCAGACACAAAACCGTGGCCCAGGAGAACCAGACCCTCCAGCTGACCAGGTTATGGGCTTCTCCTGCAGCATGCACTGTCCCACCCCACTTGGCTCTAGCAATCAGTTTGACCCTGCCCAGACTGTGCTAAGTCACCTTCTGTGACCAGGCTCAGCCCTCCCTGCCCCACCCCCAAAGGCTGATTCACAGGCACACTGCAGAGATCAGCTTTTACTTCTCATTCCCAAAACTTTCTCAGCTCCCTTGAAGCTCCCTCCCCTTCCCAGGGGTGCATTTGCTTTCCTACAGGTCTGGTGGCTTGTGGACAACTATTATGTTTACTGTTGTTGTACAGCTGCCTCAGAGCTATCAATTGCCTTTGTTCAAAGTTCACCTGCCCAGATGACTTTACAACACAACTACAATGATCTGTTCCATTTTGCACTTTATACTGACGCCACAGTGATTTCTACCAAGTCAGCGAGTGAGTAATGAAGCATTTGAGCCTATAAACACACGTTGTCCTTGTTTATGATCATATTAATAGCACAATAAAATCATTGCTCACCCAAGCAATTGCTTTCAAAAAAAAACAACCAAGCTTGTTTCCTTTTGATTTCTGCATGGAAAATGGAAAGTTGTGGTTTCATGTCTGCTGGGAGCCCCAAAGCCCCAGACTGTCTAATGGGGTGTCAGTTTTATGCTGGAGCACAGAGAGTCATCATTTTTCCTACGTCACACACAGAAATCTTCAGCTCAACTTGTGTGGCAGCTCAGCTGGCGACTTGGTTGTGCTTGAACTGCAACCACCACCCAGCTGGCAGAGGGGTCTGACTCTTCCTTTGCACAAGCCTTGGGGACACACAACCCTCAGGGTGAAGCTGTGCACCAAGACACTGGTTAGGCTGATTTGTACCAGCTGAGGAACATATCCATCTTGGTTAAAAGCAGATGGAGGTATCAAACTTCCTTTTCTTGGTCCCATGGTTGACAAATCTGTGAAGCATTATGTGCACCCAAGAGGGTTTTCCTGGAAGGAAGGTAGAAACAAGGCTGTGAGTTGGGTACAGCAGTGCCCTGGGTGATGAAGGATAGAAACAAGGCTGTGAGTCAGGTACAGCAGTGCCCTGGGTGATGAAGGAGGTGTAGGAGCTTCATTGCTGGTTTTTAATCTCCCTGAGAGTTCTTAGTGATACAGAGAGGCAAAGTCACTGTTACCTTCCAGTCCCTGTCCACTGCTTCTCTGCTCTTCTCTGATGCTTTTTATTGCCAAGTTGGTTGTGTACCAGCCAGGAAAACAATTCTTGTTGCTTTCCAGGTCAATGTGCTGCAGTAATTAAATGTCCAGGCTATTTACTTGTGCAGCAGCTAAACCAGAGCTGAATATTCAAACTCTCCATTGTATGCATAGAAGAAGAAAACAAACAGCACTGCTCCTTTCATCACATCAGGTGGTCCTTCTTGGAGAAAGCTTTGTGGCCAGGGGTTAGTAGGAGGTGATGTCTCCAAGAATTTCTTTTCTTCAGTATCTAGTTTACATAGAATAACTCAAAAGGCACTTAATGAGGAGCAATAACACCTTCTGCAAAGTGGTTTTGTTTCAAAGAAGCTTCTCCTCAAGGGGAAGCTTAGTGAGGAGCAGCACATACCAAAAAGGCTCTTGTTAAAGGGAGTTTATTCCCATCCAGTGGTCTTCTCTAACAACCCCAGATCCTAAGTTGCAGTAAAATTTCTACCCAAGAGTGTGACTACAGGTAATATGCCATGGATACAGCAGGTGTTGAGAGGAAGGATGGGGAGCAGTGTGGGACTGTCTTTATGGCCAAACTTGACAAAAAAAAAAGGTTTATCTCCATTTTTCTAATGCCCTGGAACTGCTGGCATTTACCAGCCTTTGTCCTGCAAAAAAAAAGGTTTATCTCCAGTTTTCTAATGCCCTGGGGCTGCTGGCATTTACCAGCCTTTGTCCTGTTGTTGCAGGCTGTCTTCAAGATCATTAGGAAACGTATTAGTATTGGAATTTAAAGAACTTATTGGAATTTATAACAAGCATTTTCCCAGCAGTGTTAATGTGGCCAGGGCAGACCTTGACTATTGTGTTGTTTGAAAATTTTGGAGTCTGAGCTGCT